TCTCAAGTTCCGGAAAGAAGTGCAAGGTTTAAGGGTCGGCCTCAATTTGGAGGTATATACATATATTATATTTTCTTCACGGTTTTTAACGGTTATATTATGTGCCCAGTTCAAATGGTTTGAAATTTTCGATAAGCCAATGCTTAATTCTCTGTTTGCTATGTTTATATGAGTATTTACTTTGATGGGTTACTCCATGCTGGCCACCAGATGTCCTGTTTTTGTGAAGACTGGTGTTTGAATAAAGTTTTATTTTTTATGATGTGTATGTTTTGAATTTGCAAACTTTAAACAACCCATGAGAATGATGCTATTCAACAGGGGAGCAGAACACAGGGTCAGTTGGAAGACATTTGTGGTGTAGGATAGTAAAACTGTGTAAACACATGCTACCTTTCTGGTGCCTTTTATACAATTCTGGTGTTTGATGCATGTATTGGGATATGCATCCCGGGTTAATCATATGTGTTTAAAGGAGGGTGCTTTACACATTTTGAAGTGTCATGATATGACAAAAGAAAAATCTTATATCTAGATAGTGTGATTGTGTCCTTTTGTTTCTTGTGGATTGGTTTTTCTGTCTACTTTGTAGGTTCCACTTTTATTTTCTTCTCTCTTGCTCGAGGTTTAAATACTGGATTTCTATGTGCTTCATACTGAGTAACTGCAACATACTTTATAAAATCTTAAAACTTTCATTTACCAATAAAAATGTCCTGCAGTTATTGTGTTTACATTTTTTTAAAATATAAGCTGCTATGCATAGAATCTTAGCTAGAACTATTAACTGATATTGAGTGCTTCTGAAAACTGATTCATTGAGATCATTATTTTGGTTCAGTTCTATAATGCTCCATGCAATGAGTTTCAAGGAAAGCTTGTCTTGAAGCCCTTAGCGCCTGAACGGATGTGGAAGTTCATCTATGAGCCTATCCATCAAGATGTTCGTATTCTTTCGAAAAAGATTCCTCTAACTGGATATTTGAATCTCCAGGTTTGATGCTTTCACTCTGATCCTTTATTCAACGCCCCACCCAACTTTCCTACAACACCAAAGCATATTATGAATCCTTTGCACCATCTAAAGCACACTTTGGCTTAGTATATACCAACCTTACTAGTATCATAATAATCACACTGCAAACTGTTGGAAAAAGCAGGTTGGAGTAGGCCATAATTTTCAAATGAATGCTACTGGATGGAAATGGAAACTTACTACATGTTTTGGTGGTGATGGTATATCTCGGATCCGGAATAAGACATCTCTTGGTGTGTGCCCTGGTGTGGATATGCGCTTTGGATGGAGGGCTGATTATGTACTTCCAGAAGTTACTGGGCAAGTTCCTTAGTCTTGTATGCATTTAAGAATGTAGAGATTTTGCGGCCTTACAATAGTCAAATTCAAAGTACTCACTACAAGAGAGAGTCAGGATATCAAATCAAAGTACTCACTACAAGAGAGAGTCAGGATATCAAATCAAAGTACTCGCTACATTAACGTAGTGAGCTTTCAATATATCAGTATTTCTATTTTCCTTTTCTGTGAAGGTTTTACTGTTTTTTATTAGTTAATATATAACTTCTTGCTTTTTAAACTACATGCAGTTTGGTTCTTCTTTCTGTTTTAACAATTTCTTTGATTGATTAATTATGGTTTATGGTTGAAACCTTGAATTAATTAGGGCTCTGGGCACTGGTGAACCATGGTTCAACATGAACTCGGGAAAGTTGCAAGCATCATTAGATAGAGTTGAGGCCATTCTAACCTATACTGATATCTACAATTTCTACAAGCCTAAAGACCAGGTATGACTTGTTGAGTTTAATCACTTAATAGATGATAGCTGAAATTTTTCTGTATGTAGGATATTTTCCCAACTTATTTCTTATAGTGAGTCATGCATCCGTAATATGTTGTATGAATCACTTATGAGAGGTTTATCAACTAAAACTCTTGATCCAATATCTGGATGAAAGCTATAACTTTCAAGTATTTTGGTCACTCAAACTTTTATTCTTCAACTCAAACATGAAAATTCACTTTTGAAAGTGTACTGATTTCCTAGCTTTTATTGTGATTCTGTTTGTTTTTATTTTACTGGTTGACACCCATGTACACCATGGACATCCTAGGCTGTGTAGAACATGCTAATCCGAATGAATTATCTTTGTTTTGCTATGCCTTTTTCTAATGAATTATTACTTGATTCCATGCGTGTTGAATTTGTGAACTTGCCTTTTTGTAGTTTAGATTTCAGAATCTCTAATGGTACATTTGCAATGTACAACAGACGGGTATGGATAAGATGGGTTTGGGATTAATCTGTTACAAAGTAGCTCCACAGTTTGATTTTACAGTGCATTTTTACTTTGCCAAATTTTTCTTCAGCAGTATCAGCAGAGACCTGAAACTGATGTCACAGATGTAACTAATTATTCAAGCGATTAGCCTTCCTCACTATGGAGGGACTTTTCATGCAATGGGCTTGTTAATGTTTTATCACGCAATGCCATCAATAGGGGAGAGGGGATCGTATGTCGATGGATCACGATGCTGCAGATTTACACAAGTACTTGTACATGCTGTTATTTCCTTGAGCTGAGTGTAGTTGCACACCAAATGACGGTTTATCTACTTTTGTTGTTTTGCATCATGTAAATGATATTTAAATTTCAATCTGGTATATGTTCACCTGGTCCTCTATCTTCTTCCTGGGTGCTACCAATGCCTTTACATAGTCCTAGACATGAATTGAAATTCTCATCTTAGCCCTCATAGATGCCACCAGTCATGTATTTGGAAAAAGAGTACTGTTGTAACCCTTCATCAAAGTATTCATTTCACCTTGAAATATTAGTGGCTGAGTTAATTGATATGATTTTTTTTTTTTTTAAAGGTGATTTTTTTTCTTTTTGGATTGAGAGAAGCTGGTGGGTGGGATTAGTATTTTTTTGGGTTCTGATTTGTTTTGATAGATCAATCAAACGGCTCAGGTGGATTAGTTTCTGTTCATTACTGTAGGCCTTAGAATTTGAAACCCTGAGGAGGGAATATAACGTAATTCGAGGACGACAATGGGTCATCATTCCAATCCAAACCTAGCCGTTGTAGACTCAACGGCCAAATGCCATTGCCACCTACTATAAAAATTCAAAATCTTCTTCACCACCTTCACCTCCACCTCCAAATCAAAACCCATTTGATTCTCTGAAGCAATTCAAACCTGAAGCCCAGAAATGGCTGCATCGAAATCCAATCTTAGGAGCTCTTGTTCCTTCCCAAATCTTCTCCTCTCATGTTTGAATTTCACTCTCTTCATACTCTCTGTCACTTCTCTAGTTCCTACTATCCTCCTCAGGATGCCCCCAACTTCAATGGGCATGGCATTCCTAATGATTTCTGGCATCTCAATTCTCTCCTCCTTTGTAGGCTTCTACTCTCAGCTCACCCACCTCTGCTTCATAACCCATGTTTCGCTTCTCCTCGCCTCGCTGATCGGACAATTGCTTGGCATATTGGCCTTGTTTACCAAAGAGCGTTCTACCATTTCAATGCTCAAGTCGCCCCGGGACCCAAAAGAGGCCAAGCTTTTGGTGAGGTTGGAATGTGGGGTTCTGATGGCAATGTTGATGATGCAGATGGTAGTACTGGTGTTGAGCTGTGTGGTGCAGAGCTGCTGGGTGAGAGAGTATGAGGGGTTGGAAGCTGAGAGAGAGGCCATGACGAAGAAGAGGAGCCGGCGAATTGCAAAAGTTCAAGAAGAATCCATTGAAAATGCTGCAAAGATAGCTGAGGTCAAGGCCAAGGATTTGGATGAGAAGATGAAGAACAAGTATGGACAGTGGGTGAAGACTGGTGAGTTTGAAGGCTAGGGGCAGTTTCTTAGTTGGAGTGTGTGTTGTTTGTGCTCTTTTCTTTTTTGGTGGGTTGTTCACTATGGTTGAGGCCATTGGGGGGCATGTGATGTAAAGCTTATGACTTGTGAGTGTTATTTTTATGTATTTTGAAGTGTTCAACATTTGTTTACAGAGGAAATTAAATACCTCCATCACTCAGAACTCCATGTGATTAAATTAGTCCTTGTTTTCCTTAGTTTTTTTTTTCGCCAATCAACTTCTCTCCTAAATGAGAGAAAAAAGATTTCTGCAATTTGCCATTTAAAGGAGAGAAAAAGGGTAATTGTGAAAAGAAAAACAGAAAGAAGCATTTTCAGTCCAGTAAAAATGACTCAGATTGAATCTTAAATCATGAAGGAGAACTCTTCGATTTGCGATTTTATGATTCAGATTGAAAGTCAAGTAAAAATTAGACAAGTATATTCATTTCCCATAAAGGAAAATGTTAAAAGAGAACTAGTTAACATTCTTACTTTGGAGCACAATTCATTTTCTTTTCTTTTGACGTTGAATTCAATCACCTACTAATACTAATCCATTTTTCTAGTTTTCGGGGGCTTCTAAATATGTATTGGCCAGATTTCAACTGGTTTTTTAGTAAATAAGAAAATTCTAACGAATCACTCTTTCATCGAATATAAGATCTTAAAGAGAATTTTCAAACACATACAATCATTCAAAAATCACACAAATATATAAAACCTCGTAGAATTATTAGATCCCCTCATTACACTTCACCCTATGCTCACGTTTATACCGCACTCTTCTACAACTTTTTCTTTAACTCTTCACAAGATTGATTTCATGTATATCCAAGAAAAAAAATTAGTAAAGAAAAGAGCTAGGTCTTCTCACTTCTATAAATAAAGATTTTATAACATCACCCCAACAAAAACAAAAGGTAAAAAGCAATGTTACAAAAGAAAAAGATAAAATAAAAGGCCAAACCGCGCAAATAAAGGAAAAATATAAACAAACCAACTACCCAGAGCAACTACTTTTAACATGATCGAACGGCTCAAAATGACACTGGACGATCGGAAGGACAGAGAGCCATTCTTCTATGATTTTTATTTTTTTAATTATAAAAGAAAAATCGTATAGCGGGTAGACCGCCTTGTTATAAATTTGGGCTTCTCTGACCGCGCCTTCCAAAGAAAGCCATCGCCGACCCCTTCACGCCCAAAAAAAATCCAAACACGCCATTAACATTACCAACGCCACCATAGCCTCCGAGCTCTGCAACCCAAAAAATATCAAACCAAAGAAGCTAACAAGAACCCAATTCAAACTCATATTCATCGCCGGTGAGAGCTAAAGCCCACGCCTTGCTTATAATTTCGGTTCAAGTTCATCGGCGAGCTTCGTCTTTTCATCAAAGAATTGGGTAAGCAATCTTTTCCTTGTTTAATTTGAAATTTCCTGGTAAATTTAGTGTTTTAAAGGCACAAAGCCACAATCTTTATTGATTTAGGTGCCAAGACTCTGGTGTTAACTCGACTGTGAAGAAATGGGTGCGATAGCTCGGCCGAGTTGATTCAGTAGACAAAGGTGACTGTTGGCTTTTTTCTTTGCCCTGCAGAAATTCTAGAAATGAATTTTCATTTATATTTTCTTACATTATGGATAATTGATTATTGGTGACGTATTGAGAGGTTAATATTAATCTTTTTCTTTATATTCCAAGAAAATATCCTGCATGTGCGGCTTACATCTGGCCATGTATGTCTAACAAAAGTTTCTAAATTTTAATTAAAATTGCGAAAAGTATAATAGGATAAGATTCGATCCATAAATTCAAGGCCCCACATTAAACCCAAAAATCTTTGGGCAAGATTTTGAATTACATTTTTGTTTTTCTGTATTTTAAGAAGAATTAGTATTAATAGGAAAAAGGGGAAATGAAAAAGAAAAAGAAAAAGAAGAAGAAGAAGAAGAAAAGAAAGAGTAGTAAGGAGGAGAGTTGGTGCTGCCCCTGGTTTTCTCCACAAACCTGTGTGTTTGCTGCATACCCACTTGTTGTCTTCACCAGATGGTCAAGACAGACCCACAAATAATTTGGATTTTGGATAGGAAGAAGAACTTTTGAGTTTGAGTCCCCCTTCAGTGCTGGAGGCTAGAATCCAGCCACTACCTTGCCACATCACCATCATGGGCCTCCAGATTTTGGGTCCCATCTGATGTGGTAAGAACTACATACCAGGAAATCACAAGAATTGTTTTTAACCAAAAATGTTAGCTACTTTTTAATAAATTTTTGTTCTTTTTCATGAATAAATCAATCAACTCAAGCCTACATGCTGTCATCTTGTCTTATCCACTATTCATAACCTCCCACTCTAGTAGTTATAAGTTATAACTGCTATTATATCCGCAGATGTTTGCTGAAATTATTTTGCTTTTGTTCTAATAGACAGCTATTTTTCCAGCAGGGGTCAGACAAGTGTTTCACATGCTGAGAATTATTTTCACCATCTTTGTGAAATAACATAGCTCAACAATTCTTTCTCTGTCAAAGTCAAGTCTGGAGGAAGAACTGCCCTGATGTTGACGATTTCAATTCACAAGCCTATGCTGTTGAGATATTCCCATGTCAGAATTAGAAGTCATCAAAAGTTTCACAAGATTGATCCCGTTCCATTCGTGTGAGTTACAATTTTATCTTTCTATTGATATTTGGTTTCCATTTGCATTCAATTTCTTCATTTGCGTTCAGTTGTATTCTTATTGACGTGTATGCTGGAAGTGTGTTTTTCCTCCTTTTACTCGGTTGCATTCTCAATTCTTGTTTGGAAATTCTTTAGTTTGAATTTGATCAAACCAATTAGGGTTCTTGTTCAAGAAACGGCCACCCCTTATATTTATTTGAAAATTAGTATCTTTGGAGTGTTACATATCTCCCTTTTTTTTTGTCTTTACCAAATGAACAGGAAAATGGAGGCAAAGTCCTCCCAAACGAGGAAGATGGAAGAACTGTCAGTAAAGCATCCAACACCATTTATTCCTAAGTTGGAACCATCAGGGGAGCCTGATCTACAATTTGACCGGCTGCAAACATCAGATCAAGATTTAGTTCAAGAGAAAAAGTTTGAATTTGGACGATTTATTGCACGAGAGGCCATCCTTGATGAAGAATTGTGGGTAAGTAAACTTTCTAGGTGATGACATCTTAACCATGAAGTTTTGAATGTGTATGCTATTTGTGTACCATGAATAATATCTTGTGGTTGCATGCTTTTGGATTTGTGGCAGACAGCAGCATGGTTACGTGCAGAAAGTCACTGGGAGGATCGGGCAAATGACCGGTGTGTACTTTTGCTCTTTTATAACTTTCAGATTTTCTTCTCTCTCTGTCTCTTTGGTCTTTGTTAATCAGACTACTCTAACTACATGAGGAACATAAGTTTACTGTCATAGGCAACCCCACTAGATGGTCTATATATAAAGCGTACATGCAGAGGAATTGCCGTTTTAAAAAAAAGCTGGCAAATCAAGCTCATAGATAAAACAAGGGAATAAGGAATAGTTCAGAACGTATAGCTCTGAATCAATCAAGATTTCTAGAGAATACCCCATGGCTGGAGAACCAATGGTGGGTCTCCCTCTGCATGTGTGCAGTCTTTAGTGGGCTCCGAGTCTCCAATAAGTGTATTTATCAGTCAAATGGAGGATTGGACACTGCTGATTCTTGCTACACTTGATTAACACAGATTTGCTGACAGCTACAAAAGGAAATTTACAGATCAGGTAGGAATGACTCGTTCACTTTGAGTTTGACATGTGTACATGGAGTATATGTCTCAAATAAAATTCTGAATTGTTTCCTTTTATTTTCTAGGAATTTAATGCTATAAAAAGAAGAAGTAAAGGGGAATATGGGCAGAAATGCTCATGCATTATCACGGTATGCCATATTTGCAATGAGAGCATTTCTGGTTCTATTAGTTTGAGCTTCTATTCTGAGAACCCTCTTTGCATTAGGATACACACTATATTTAGTTAAGGCTCCCAATCAATAAAAATATACAATTGATGGCTGAGTGTGTTTGCTCTCGAATTTGTCAGGTGAGGAAGGAATCAAAGAATGTGAAATGCACTGTTGTGAAAAGTGTAGTTGGAACACTTGATTTGAGCATCCGGTACTTGTTGGATGGAGAGACCTTTCCAGGGGTACAAGCATTTTGTTTAAAAACTAAATATCTACTGCATTTGTATCTACTAGTCTGGCCAATTTAATGGCTTAGCTAAGTTGGCGACAGAATTAATTTCTATTACAGGAGCGGGAAAAGGCTCCTCCCTTTTGCAGCATCAACAGAACGCAGTCAAATAGATATGGTTATATTTCAAACTTATGCGTCTCCAAAGCAGCACGTTGCCAGGGTATTGCAAGCAGTATGATGCATTTTGCTATTAGATTAGCATTGTTAGAGGGTAAGATTAAAATGAAGCATGAATTGTTCTCTGGAGTTATAGAAATGTCTGATATGGCGCAGTTGAATAAGGGCACATGAATTCCTCTTCTTATTCTATTGGTTTCCAATGTAACAGGTGCAAAACAGGTTTATGTGCACGTGCATAGAAAGAACGAACCAGCGCAGGAACTGTACCGAAAGATGGGCTTTGAGGTATTACTATCACGGTTGTGCATTTGAAGATTGTACTCACCTGGCTTTATTCTCAAGTTTTTAATTTAAACAAGGACTGATGCAGCTTTACATTCTTGTCAGATGGTTGAAAAGGCGAGCTCTCAATTAGAAGAAGAGCAAACTTATTTGCTTCGTTTCAAGACCTGAAAGCAGCTTATTCAACTCACATTCATTCATGATTCTTTTGTTCTTGGAATTAAACAACTACTGTAGAATGCTTGTGTCTACATGTGACATGAGTTAGGTCAAAATCCAAAAATCTCACTTACTGTACAAAGAGACGACCCTGCAAAGGTTTTTGGTATAGAATGCACTTGTCGCTCCTTGTTCAACAAAAATACGGTGAAATGAAAAAATATTATGCAGTCCAATTCTCACTTTCAATATTAATGGAGCCTAGGTGTACTCTAACCCCATATGCACTGCGGATTCATATAATTTTTTTACTCACAAACATAATTGATGCAATCCAAATAGAAAAGGAAAGCACCCAATAAAATGCAATCCAAATGGAAACTTGATAATTGCATCAAAACATCACTATTTAGCTTAGGCTTATTATCACAAAACATCTCTGACGTTTGTGAAACTATCACATTGCATCCTTAAAGTTTTTTTCTATCACTGATGGTCCTTAACGTTAATATAGGTGCTCTCAAATAGTCCTTCTGTTAAAAAAAATGTTAAGTCTAGGGATATAATCGTCAAATCAATCCAAAATTATAATATATATATATATATAAGTTTCTCTCTCCCCTCTTTCTTTTTTGTTGCCTTTCCTTCTCTCTTCTCTCTCTCTCTCTCTCCCTTTCTTTTTTTCTTTTTTCTTCCTCTCCCCGAGTGCAGGCTTCTCTCTCCTCTTTCTTTTTTATTTCATTCCCTTCTCTCTTTCTTTCTTCTTCTTTTTTCTCTCTTTCTTTTCTTCTTCTTCTTACTCTCACCGAGTTCACTCTTCTCTCTCTCTCTCTCTGTCTTTCTTTTTTTTCTTCTTTCTCTCTCTCTCTTTCTCTCTCGCTATTTGACCCAGCTCCAACCGAAGAATCTATGAAATGGGTTTTGGTCCACTTGGCCCTGGAGCTTGTAGGAATGTGATAATTTGAGATTGGAAGTGAGAGAATTTGGGAACAAGGAAAGATCATGAGAAGGGTTGAAGGGAGGCTGTGTGAAGAATTTTCACCTGCATATTATGGGCTCTGCACTGTTGGTGAAATGCTCAGTGCTGGCACTACCCATCTTGCAATCACGCCTCTTGATGTCTTGAAAGTTAATATGCAGGTTCGTTTTATTGATTAAGAGAAGGGAAGGAAATAAAAAAGAAAGAGGAGATAGATGACTGAACTCGGGGAGAGGAAGAAAGAAGAGAAAAAGAAAGAGAGACAAAGACAGAGAAGAGAGAAGGAAAGAAAACAGAAAAGAAAGAGGGGAGAGAGAAACTTATATATATATTTTATAATTTTGGATTGATTTGACGATTATATCCCTGAATTTAACAGTTTTTTTTAACAGAAGGACTATTTGAGAGCACCTATATTAACGTTAAGGACCATCAGTGATAGAAAAAAACTTTAAGGATGCAATGTGATAGTTTCACAAACGTCAGGACGTTTTGTGATAATAAGCCATCTATGTAATAATACCCTTCCCTTTGGCAATCGCTACAAGGCAGGGTTTACTAACAAAATTAAGATGAAAAATCACCGTCCGATGGATGATGTGACAATGTTTGTTCGAAATCCAGTTAGAAGATCCCAAAGAGTAGCTCTTTCCAAAATTGATAACAATTATTTCCAAGATTTTCCAGCGGATTCCTAAGGCTTTTAAGCACAAGTCAACTAATCAAACATGTAGCTCTATGATTAATCTCTTACCAAAGAGACCTTGAATGGATGGGCTCCAAATGAGTGAACCAGCCAGAGGACAAGTAAAGGGACAGCTTGGGAAGTCGTCCGTGGTTGGTAAAACAAGGTACCACCTCATCTCCTAAGATGTTTCAGGAGCCACCAAACAAGCCCAATAGAGTGGAGTAGCTCCAAATGGAATCAGTTATTTGTGGCAAAGCAGGGTTTCTCGTCACCAAAGCCCTAGCAGCCTCTATGCTATCGTCACCAGAGACCGCCGTTTGACTCATGGAGGTTCTTGCTGCTAGTGCTTCTGGAGACATAAGTTCCACAAGCTTCAATGAGAACTGCCACTTACCTTATTTAACAGCAACATAACATTCAGCGCCGGTAGAGGGTCGCTTCTCTACTGAATTGCTAAAAAAACAGGCAACTAAATAATCTCTCCCTGCAATCAACAAACTTGGCAAGCCAGCTGTTCTAAAAATTTGGGATGAACTGCTTTCTTCTCAAAAACGTACGCAAAGTAAAATTATTCCCTCTTTATCTTTTGCCATTATTGGTTTGTAAACTTTGTATGCGTTGAGTAGGTGAATGAGGTAAGCAAATCAACAGGGTATGTCCCACAAAAACATAAGATGGCCAAACAAAGGAACCATGTAATCAGTGGCTCTGGCTTTCAATTCAACAATACAAGCAACACTCAAATTTGATGTGGTGTGCATCATTTGTTTTTCAAACTAATATTATCCTCTTGTCATCTACCACATCATTTGACAATTACAATTTAAAGGGGAAAACAAATAAAGTGATTATTGCCTGTAGTGAACTTATGAGCTCTCCCTTTTCGGAATATCGATGTTTCTAGTAGTGAAGTTTCATATTTGAATATAAAGATGCACGAAAAACACTACATTCACTTTACAGTAAGGAGATGAAAAGGTTATGTTTCTAGATGACAAGAATTTCATAAGTCAAATATGTTGAGCATGTAATAGAATGCCAAACTAAAGCACAAATAACAAGTGCCACAAATACATATCCTCTAGTTTTATTTAGAACCTGTTTTTTTCTATTTTGGGTCTGACAGTTTTATTTAGAACGTTGGTGCACAACTTAATGCAGAATCCGCCTTTCATCACTGATCCGTTTGTAACAAACACAGCCAAATACAAGCTCAAGCATCTTTTTTGCATAGGTCCATCGAATTACCAATGTTTTCAGGGCGAAAGATGCTTTGTCCAAATGTTGACCGGACCATTTGGATAAACAAGGGAAGCTGCAGCATGGCAAAGAGAGTCACCAGGCAAGTGGCCAGCGATGTGATTGTGATAGAAACCCAATAGAATCTGTTATTGAGAACAAGCTCAATAGTTGCACCAAAGGCTACCATCATGGAGGTTATAGCAAAAAAGAGAGAAGCCAAGCCTATTATCAATCTCCTTGGTAATGACTGAAGGAAATCTTCTTCCGCATAACGTGCAGTTAGTATTGATAAAAACATCAACAGGGAAGTTAAAGAAGCAAATAGAGCTATTGCATCTGAAACAACAAACACCATGAATGTGCTTGAGTTCTTCCGTAACAAATTTGGAGCTCCATTGTTGTCGTTACCTCCAGGTACTGTAAAAGCAGCAGCAAAAACAACTGTGGCAATGAGAGTTGCAACGAGCATGCAAGAATTTGAAGTATCCTTCAGCCATTTTTCTCCACGCTCAGCTAATTCTTTGCGTTCCTTGGTGAATAATTCCCTTGCAGTTTCACCTTTTTCATTCAGATTGTCCTTATAATAAGGGTGAACTAGTTTCTCCACCACCTAAATACCCAAAATAAGAGAATTAATAATGTCAAATATCTGTACGTGTACTAGCAATTGATAAGTTTTCTAGATAAATACCTTGAACCACTGCAACTCTCTCTGCATTTTTAGAGCTGGACAAGATACAGATGAGAGTTGGGGAAGAGGAGCCAACTTTGCTGCCAGATGCAAGATGGTTCCCCCGGATTCAGATTCAAGTAGTGTAGAAGCAATTAATTTACTTCGTGCAGTCTTACCACAGACAATACGGAAAAGATTTTCATGCTGAAATTCAATAGCAAAAGGGAGTAATAAATATCGGTCTTTGCTGAGGATAAACCACATTAGATCAGGAAAAAATTCTACTAGTGTCCTTATAAATTCAACTATCCCGTTAGTGGCAGCTATCTTGAGGATATCTGACTTAATCTGCTCCTGTGAAAGTTGTAAGCAAATTTGTCTCAGTAGTTCAACTGCACAATGATGTCTGAGCTTTGCATCATGGAGTCACATGAAACCAGCTGGTGCTGCACGTTAAAAATGTAAGAGACATGAGTGGAAAGCATCAAGCAATAGCAAATACGGAAGGGTAAGATTCGAATCCAGACCTATTCGTTTAATAGCTCCAAAAAGCATTTGTCTTAACCAATGAACTGCAACAGAGAACGAAATCATTCAAGAAAGTGTCAATTGGTGCAATATAGCCAGTTTCACCTCTAATTGATCAAAACTAACTGTACAGGTGGTTTGATAGTTAGCCTCAATTGTGCACGAGAGGCTAAATACCAGGGAAACCTGAAGCAATAAGCACATTGACAAGGTTAGCAGCCAAAGGACCAGTTGAGGGAAGACCAGGTTTCTCATGTTTAGTTACCAACAACAAGTACCACACCAGCTCCTTATTCTCAGAAGCAAAAGTGGCATCTAGGAGTAGCACAGTTCTTCCCGCGCTATCTAAACATTGTGTCAACTTGGGGTTTTTCCCCAACAATGCCTTAGCAGACCTCAGGCTTCCACCTATAGCAGCATAGTGGAGGGCTGTGTAGCCTATGCCATCAAGCATTTCAAGCACATCTGCAGGCACACGTTTCACTAGTTTCTCCACAAACTCTGAGTGCCCTTCACAAGCAGCAACATGCAGTGCAGTCATTGATGAATTTGAGATCCTAGCTCTCTCAGAATTAGGATGTGTGTCCAGAAACTTTCTAGCCTCTTCCCAATTGCCTCTGGATGCGGCACGGTACAGTGGTAGGTAGTCATCCAAGTTCACTTCCACTATATTTGCATCGATCATTTATATAGTTCACTTAAAATTGAAACCCCCAAAAAAATAATGTCATCTATGAAGCATATATGAATTATCAATCATGTGATACAAGAAAAATTAAAACATGGGTAATCAGCTGCTTACATTTCTGACCAGGATTGCTATGCTGTATTGGGATAGGTTCTGTTGAAGAAGATGGGTTTCCGCCACTTGTTGTATAATGATTGGTGCGTGCTTTACTGTGAGTAATGATGGTTGGTTGCAAGGAGCCACCACTTGGCTCCATATCCAGTGTGATTTCACCGGTTGGGAGGGCCATTGATGATTAAGTATATATGTCTGTTTGCTAAAATAATTAGCAAAAATCAAGAACACAATTCTTGATCTTGTGCTATTTGAAGAAAGGAGGATGCAATTATAAAAATAAAAAAAATTTAAAAAAAGTAGGATGCTTCCTTCGTGTCTTCTTCCCGTAAAGAAAATGGACGACTGGTAAGGTCAACATGTTGTCTTTTTGCTTTTTGACAGACGACTCTCTCTCTCCATTCAGACCCAAAAAAACACTCTTTCTCCTTGTAAAAGACGAGAGTCTCCTGTCACTTTCATTTATTTATTTTATTTTGGAAGTTCCCCTGAAAGTGCAAGGAAGAAAGAAGTCTACCTGCAGGTAGAAGAAAACAACCAACTGCATTCACATTTCGAAAGGTATGTTTATAGATGACATGAACTTCTAACTCAAATATGTCCCCACAGTGACTCAAAAGGTATGCTTAATAGATAGATGCCAAATGCAAAAGGCCAAATTTATATTACGAAGGTCCTGTAGTTTATTTACAGCATAGGTGCATGCTATAAGTGTTTATCTATATTCCAAAAACTCCAGACAATCTAATGCAGATTCTGCCTTCATCACTGATCAGTATTCGGTATACATAAAAAAGAGCCAAAAAGAAACACAATTGCAAACACCTTCTTACAATTGCAAACACCTTCTTTCCATAGGTTCGTTGAATTACCAAATGTTTTGAGGTCTAAAGATGCTCCGTCCAAATGTTGATCGGACCATTTGGATAAACAAGGGAAGCTGCAGCAAGGCGAAAAGAGTCACCGGGAAAGAGGCCAGCAAGGTGATCGGGATATAAACCCAATTGAATTTCTTGCTGAGCACAATTGTAAAAGTTGCACCAAAGGCTACCATCATGGTGGCTATAGCAATGAAGAGAGAAGCTAAACCTATTATCAACTTCTTTGGTAATGACTCGAGGAAATCTTCTTCGGCATAACGTGCAGTTAGAATTGATAAAAACATCAAGAGGGAAGTTAAAGAAGCAAATAGAGATATTGCATCTGAAACAGCAAACACCATGAACACGATTGTGTTCTTATCTAAGAAATTTGGATCTCCATCGTTGTTGTTACCTCCAGGTGCTGTAAAAGCAGCAGCAAACACAACTGTGGCAACGAGAGCTGCAACGAGCATGCAAGAATTTGAAGTATCCTTTAGCCATTTCTCTCCACTCTCAGCTAATTGTTTATGTTCCTTGGTGAATAATTCCCTTGCAGTTTCGAGACTTTTGTTTGGATACTCCTTATAATAAGGGTGAACTAGGTTCTCCACCACCTAAACATACAAAATAAAAAAAAATTAACAACGTCAAATATGTGTGTTTGTAATACCAACTGACAAACTTTCTGGATAAACACCTTGAACCACTGCAACTCTCTCTGCATTTGTAGAGCTGCACCAGATATAGATGATAGTTGGGAAAGGGGAGGCAACTTTGCTGCCAGATGCAAGATGGTCTCCCTCGGTTCTAGTACTGCAAAAGCCATTAATTTATTTCGTGCAGTCTTATCACACACCATACGGAAAAGATTTTCATGACGATGTTCAATAGCATAAGTGAGTACTAAAAATCTGTTGTTGCGGAAGCGAACCCAAATTAAATCAGGAAAAAAATTTAGGAGTGTCCTTAAAATTTCAGTTGTCCCATTAACGGTGGCCGTGTTGAGGATTTCTAATTTCAAAAGATAGTCCAAACGCTCAGAAATATTCTTCTTTGAAATTTGTTTGCAAATTTGTTGTACTAGTTCAACTGCACAATGATGTCTAAGTTTTGCATCTTGGAGTTGCCTGAAACGAGCTGATGCTGCAAGTTAAAAATGTAAGAGATGTGAGTGGAGAACTTCTAGCAGTATTAAATTTGGTAGGGTAAGGTTCCAATCCAGACCTATTGGTTTAATAGCTCCACAAAGCAGTCTTCTTAACCCATGAAGAACTGCAACAGAGAACCAAATCATTCAATTGTCAATTACTGAAAATTGATAGCTGACTATTCCTTTTGGAGAAACACAACCAGTTTCACCTCTAATCGATCAAAAAATCTATGAAGGTGATTTGGAAAATCCATTTTCTTTAGCATTCAGTTTTAAAAATAGACAAGGTTTGATGCTTTTTATTCAATAGACAGTACAACTACAGCCTAGAAAGTAGTTCACAAAAATTATCTTATTGCAAGCAGGAACCCTTAACGCTACAGAGCTCATAACATAGACCTTAAATTCACATGCGATAATACTTGAGCCATATTGATACAGAATTTGCAAACCCCGACCTTTATTCTGTGCTGATGTTGGCATTCTCAGTTGGTCTTGGACGCTTTCATGTCCCCCAACATAGGCCCTCACTGAACGCGGTGGGCCATAGTTCACTTCAACAGGTAGAACTGCAACCAAAATGGAAAATGATAGGCAACTTTTTAAAAATTAGTAGGAAAAACATAACGGCACAGATAAAGTATTGGGGAAATGTAAAATTCAATAAAATAAGAGAGAAGTTATAACATTGGTAAATGCAGGTTTCCCAAAAGCCAAGCCTGCTGCCACTAAGGAAGTTTGACTGGTTCCTTGCCAAAATAAATAAAGGAGTGCAATTATTATCTTGATGATCAATAGCAGTTGCCAAGTGAGGGTGTTTCTCAAGTAGATACAGTGAAATTTCTGTTGCAGAAACATTTAAAGCAAATCAGTGAAATAATAATAACGGGGTAAGCGAAAAAAGACCAATGTGATCCACATTGTGTGCACAAGAGAGGCCTTTACCATGGAGACCTGAGGCAATAAGCACATTGATAAGGTAAGCAGCCCTTGGACCAGTGAAGGGTTGACCAGGTTTCTCATCTGTAGTTACCAACAACAAGTACCACACCACCTCTTTACTCTCGGAACCCAAACTGGCAGCCAGGAGGAGAGGTGTTCTTCCTTCACTATCGACAACTTGCGTTAAATTGGAATTCGCCGCCAACAATGCCTTAGCAGACCTCAGGCTTCCACCTATGGCAGCATAGTGGAGGGCTGTATAGCCAAGGTCATCCAGTTCTGCCAGTTCACCTGCGGGCATAAGTGCCACTATATTCTCCACAAATTCTGAGTGCCCTTCACAAGCAGCAACATGAAGTGCAGTCATTTTTAAATTTGAGATCCTAGCTTTGACAGCATCAGGATCTCTGTCCAAAAAACTCTTAGCCTCTTTCCAATTGCCTTTGAGTGCAGCACGGTACAGTTCTTGGTAGTAATTCAAGTTCACTTCCACAATAAATAAAAATTTGCATTAACCATTTATAGAGTTCACTTAAAAACAATAATATCTATGAAGTATGATTTGATTAACATTTGATAAAAAGAAAAATCAATCAAAAGCAAAATAAAAAACAAAACCTAAACATGGGTTATGAGCTACTTACATTGTTCAATATCTTCAGTTGCAGAAGATGATGGGTTTCCACCAGTTGTGATTAGTGCCATTGATTATGAGTGTATGTATTTTCTGCTCCAATAATCACATATATATTTATGACTCGTCTGAACTCTCAACTGAATTAATATTGAGGAAACCAGATGCCTTGCTTCTTCTTGTTGTTGAGAAAAATGGTTTCAGAATGTGATGATGACAGAAGATGTCGAAGGCTATGGATGCTTTTTTTTTTTTGGTCGAAGCTTTTTTTACTTTTACCTTTACTTTTACTTTTACCTTTACTTTTACTTTTACTATTAGTTCCTAGTGCTAGTACCTCGCACAGCTCATTGATATGAGAAATTATAGACTACTACCGTAGTATAGCTGACGTGGTTCTACAAACAATAGTTTTCTGACACCTCACTAATATTGACACGCGTCGTCACGCTGTAGACCGTTTGGGTTATCGCTCTTCATCCTTGAGGTTTTGATAGAAATCAGATGTCATTAAATTTCTTCAGTACTTGTATGAATTTTTATTCTTTGAACTCTGCAAATTCCTGAAGGGAAATTGTTTTTGTGTAGTTTTTAAGGGAAATTGTTGGTCTATTGTTCTTAATAATCAAGAACAATATGAAATTGCTTAAAAGTTTACGAAGAATTGCAAGTCTGCATCTTCTAGTCGGCGAGATTCCGGCGTCCTCGCAGTGTTGGCGGAGGCCCTTTCTAATGTGGAGAAAAATTAGACTCATTCACCGCCCCTCCTTAGCCTTTGCGTCAACAATTACATGCAGATCTTGATTATAAATCAACGATTAAATTTAAACCAGAAAAATAATTGGCTTAAAAACCAGGGAGAATTTTGAGGAGCTTTAACGATCATTTGGCTTGTCTTCTGGTTTTGCTCTATGTTAACTGAATTTTGAGGAGCCCCTGCCTTTTGGTTTGATCAAGTTCGATCTTCTTGACCCAAAGAGAGAAGAAAAATAGATCTTTTGATTTCGGTACAAGAATCCAGTTGAGGTTAGAAGATGCCGTTGCCTTGCTGTCAATAAAGCCTTTTACTTTCATGTCCACGTGTCAATGTTCGGTGAGGTAGTAGCCTCTATAGTTTCTCCATTCATATTTAACACATATTTTATTCATTAATATTATATTATGATGTCCATTTATACTATAACACATATTTTATTCATTAATATATTATATCATGTATTCTGCCCATTCATATTATAACGCATATTTTATTCATTAATATATTATATAACGTACTCTGCCTATTCATATTATAAGACGCATTTTATTCATTAATATTATATCATGTATTCGGAGGAGTCCTAAATTGTCTTCATTTTGATGTTTGTGACCAGTTATTTTTTTGGTTAAATTATGAATGCAATTCCAAAAAATTTCAACAAAAAAAATTATAACACGTATTTTATTCATTAATACTATATTCTAAAATATAAACCCGCCGGTAACCCATACCAACAATTTTTCGAAGAGGCTCTTTTAAGTTCAACTTCCCATTCACATTTACCTTCTCCACACGTCATTCCCAATTTACAAAAATAGAAAAGAAAATAACATAATTCAACCACCACCGAAAGTGAGAGGGAGAAAGAATTCCTGTTCTTTCTTTGTCATTCTTTCTTTGTCTCGAAGAAAAGAAAAGAAAAGAAAAGAATCCATCCACCGAAGGTGCGTGGAAGAAAGAATTCCCACTTGACTGATATGAAATGCTACCCAAAATATCGATCTTTCCACTTTACACTTCATGTTTGATTATACGTGCAAGGCAAATTCTGCATTCACTTTACAAAAGTAAATGGATTGGGCTACATAAGCTAGAGGGCAAAAAGGTTGTTTCTAGATGACAAATATATCGAGCATCTTCATAGCTGATTGAACTCAATATAGTTTCCACAGGGATGCCTATTGCGTCAGTGACCCAAACTCGGATTAAACTCAAGAGACGGATGAATAGCGCAATGGACCTTCGTGAGGATCGGGCACCTTGACATGTTCTAATATTGCAGAAACTTTCAAGCCAATGATTTTCACCTCTGGATTTGAGTGGCCATCCAGAAAAGTATTTGTCAACTGCAAAGAGCACCATTTGACATTTTTAAATATATTCTTAATAAATTGATTTGGAAAGAACCATCTTAAATACATTCTATTAAATTTCATTAAACCTCCTACAGAGTTTCAAGACACAACAAACACTGAACATATGTACCTGAGTGCATCCAAAAAGTTTCAGTATCCTCAATGATAGGCAGCTGTCCGCAATTAAACCCAGGGCCTCATCTGTCAAATTCCGGCACCAAGATAGATCCAGAGTATGCAACTTCCTTGAACGTTTGGCAAGTGATATGGCTGTGTTGTACCCAACCTGGAAATAATAAACAAACGCGGTCCATATTCATAATGTAGGAACAACTAGTTATGGCTACGTAGACCAGGCTCCCACATGCCCATTTAACCTAAGGGCTACAGTCCAATCAAGTGGCAAACAGATTCTCACAGTCAAACCCCACCTTTGGTTCTGGCAATTTTTTGCATACAAAAAGATGTTTTACAGTGTGAGTGCACGAGTGCATCGGTGGGTGGGCACATACTAATTCACATGTGAACATGTGTGTATTCCTGTTCTTATAAGAGATGTGTGTGTGTGTGTGTGTGTGAGAGAGAGAGAGAGAGAGCAAAGATTTACCTTCTTGATATTATTGAGTGAAAGTTCTGTTAAACACTCTCCAGAAGTTTCCAGAAAAGCAGCAATAGCTTCATCACTGTCACAAGGGAAAAAGATTGTTCTGTAAGTTTATCACTCAAAGGAATGCCCACTGTGTGCAGTGATCATCAAAATTAACCTAAAATCACATCAGAAATATAAGAATAGATATATATATATATATATATATATATATATATATATATATATATATATATATATATATATATATATATATATATATATATATATATATATATATATATATATATATATATATATATATATATATATATATATATATATATATATATATATATATATATATATATATATATATATATATATATATATATATATATATATATATATATATATATATATATATATATATATATATATATATATATATATATATATATATATATATATATATATATATATATATATATATATATATATATATATATATATATATATATATATATATATATATATATATATATATATATATATATATATATATATATATATATATATATATATATATATATATATATATATATATATATATATATATATATATATATATATATATATATATATATATATATATATATATATATATATATATATATATATATATATATATATATATATATATATATATATATATATATATATATATATATATATATGTTCTGTTATCGACTCAATGGCAGTCAACAATATAACCCAGAAAACTCATCAAAGGTCAGTGCAACTAACAAAAACTCCATTGAGTCTCATACTAAATTCTTATTAGTAATATGCACTGTCTAAGCAGAAAGTCTGTAATAACATTGCACTAATGTAGCAAAAACAAACCGCATCATAAATAAAGTTAATAATGCATCATATTTGCTTTGAGGAAACTGAATAATAACTTAACATATTTAATAAGGTAAGCACCTGAATGCATTTCTACAAAGCTTTAATGTTTGAATTTCTCGGCAACCATTTGCAAGATATCCTAAGGTCAAATCTGTCAATTTGTGCAAGTTAACAAGATCAAGTGCGCATAACCCCGTACAGGTTTCAGCTATGACTTTCACAGAAGAATCTGTTAATTTTCTGCACCAAATTAAAACCAACCAGCTTCAGTAGAAAACAACAATAAATCAATGGAACTCTTAAAAGATGGCAAACACATATTTATTGCAAAAGTTGCACATATAGATGTGTCAAAAAAAAAAAAACTTACCCACAATCAGTCAAAACAAGCTCCTTCAAACTCTGACCACGAGCAGTAACAAATTCCTTAATAAAATCATCACAAACTTTTTCAAGGCCTCCTAGCCACAATACCTCCAAATGTTCAAGCTTCTTTAATGCTGGAAGAATAAGCAGAGCATCAATTCCTTGGCAATCATTTAGATATAGTTCCCTCAGAACTGATCCTAATGAGTCAGCTAAAGTGCTGATACTTGAGGAAGTGAGAAGGGAGCACTGGCTGAGATTTAGAGATCTTAGTGCAGGGGCAGAAGAAACAAGTGCACTAAGCCCAACATCTGAAAGACGGCATGCACCACTTAGGGATAAAGTGGTTAGTGCAGGCAAGCAATTTGATGACCGAGCCAAGGTAGAATGCAATATATAATCTGCCACACAGCGCCCACACTGGTCAAGTTGTAGCACCTGATTCACCAAAGAGTAAATATCCAGCTTATAAAAATTGATCAAATTACTAGACAAGAAACTGCAAGTTTACACTCAACGAAGAATTAACTTCCATGTTACTAATAAAGCAACAGATATGGCTTCCAATGAGAAATTATTCCTTGTTTAAAACATAAATGCAGGCTGCTAAGCTATGTTTATCAGGATAACATTGAAACCTTTAAGTGATTAGAATTCTCGAGAGCTCAACTTTCTCTAGATTTATCTGTGAATATGACAAAATAAGAATCTCAAACTCAAAACTGATGCCTAGCTGCCTGAATCTCTCTTCCTTCTACTACCACCAGGCTGGCGTTACCAGTCATTCTTTGCTCTCCCTCTGCTCCCATTTAACAGAAGCATCAATACCATAAGAAGTAGACTTTCAGCACCAATAATTGCTTTACATCTTCGTGGCAACAAAACCAGCAAAAAAAATATAAAAAGCTCTAACTAAACTCTGATCACTCAGTTTATCCTTTCTACGCATTTGGATGTGATCATGACAACCTAGATGTGCTCTCTTTCCACTCCCTATTAATAGAAGCATCAATACTATAAAGAAGCAGACTCTAAATTTTTAGGGTAAAAGCTTAGTTTCAGTTAAATGATAACATAATACCACAAATAGCAAGATTGCCCCTTGAATCAAAAACTATAATCCAATGCAGCAGACAATAAGTATATCAGGTCCAGTGTATATCACACACACCATATACAAATGAATATTGTATAAACAAAACTATAGCTCAACCAAAATAAGAGAACGTACAGTTAAATTGCTGGTATCCAACT